GTTCAGCAGAACCTCGTTCCAAGTAAACTGGTTAAAGCTCCAATATCTACAATCTGATGCCAGTGAAACCACCCTGTTAATTTAACATAACATACACAATGTAATACAACAGAAACAATAAAATGTAACCTTCAGTACCTGGGAAAATCCTCTCCTTTTTCACACCTTCGGAGAACTGAACATATTGTTCAGTAAAGCTCCTGAGGACATACAGCTAAGGAGAAGCACCATTAGGGAGTCAGAATCGGTATCTTTTGTTGACCCAATACCCACTAAGAGGTAAGGGAGACAAACTTGGTGATCTCTTGTCTTGGGGCAGCTGACATAGTGATGGGAAACAGATGAATTTGCAATGGCAACGTTCCTTTCATCAAGTAAGTTAATGACAAATGGTACACAGTAAACCACAACAAATTATGGGCAAACTATTAAACTATTACTACAAATAAACTATAATGCTTTACATGCGAAAGGTAATCGAGTTTTTACAAACTCCTCAGAGTCTGGGAGAAGTATCTCCATAAATCCACAGATCACAGGAACATGAAGCTTTGAGGTTGGAGGTGACAAGCAGCGAAAGTCATCGTGGTCAAAAGGACAATGTTTTCACTGCACCGAAACAGAACGGATTCTCCTAATCACACACACTCCAGACGGGTTAAAAGCCCAAGTCTTAATTTAAGCAAGAGATAAGCATTTGAGTCCAAGTCTTCCCTTGAAATTGTCTCCCTCGCAAGGTAGTATCTCTACCAGCCACAGAAAATAAACACTTGGCAATCATGCAACAAGGTTCTTTTCTTTAACAGAGATGTCTATAGCAGCGCCATAATACTTAATGTTATTTCCCTTTGCTAAGACCTAGGGTTACGGTCACTGAAAAAGGTTACAGAAAAGATTTGTTAAAAATATCTAGACTTACAAAGGAAACAAAAGCAGTTGAGCTCAGCAGGTCATGCTCTTTTGCTTGCATACAAAGTTTCCTCTGTTTATCATTCATTCGCATGTGTGACATGAAAAATGCAGGCATGATTTTCAAAGCTGTCCAGAATTTAGTATCTGCTTCCCACAGGAAGGTTTGAATACCGCAGCCTCAATTCCTTCACTGAACAAATAGTATTAGGGATGAATTTACTTCATAAGATGCTACTTGGACAGAAAAAAAAAAGAAAAGAACAACAAATTAAAATCATGAACATCAAAATAATGCTGACTCCAGTGCAAAAGCTTTTCAGTGATTTCGGCACTGCTCAATTTCCACTCCAGTTGGCTTAAAATCAGATAAGTAAAAGCTACCATCACTATAAATGGAGATAAGAAATTAAATATCTCGAGTCTAGATCTGGCACGCTGACGAAGAACAGTTATGACCCTGAAGAAAACAGTAGAAAGTTAATACAAAAACATAACTGAAACCATCATAAAGTTATGCATTAGAAAAAGCACAAAATTTACAAAAGTCTACAAAAGAAATCGGAAGGCATGGCTATTATTTACATATCTTAATAAATTAATGCATTATATCATTCTCAGCAGAATAATTCCTCGTCATCTAGGAAGGAGTTTCACAACAGTCATGTGACTCATTTTTACTGCATCTGGGAAATTCCTCTAACGCAATCTCCATGCTAGCAGAGCAGACATGCTGGACACAAAACGGTATATAAGCGAGATGGATCGCCCAGACCAGGCATCAGCAATCCTCCGGGACAAGAGAGCTCAGCAGGCCACAGAATCAGAGCTGAACGACCCAGCGAAAAAGTCCCGTCTAATCATGAACGGCAAACTTGTGGCTGTCCTGGCTCTTTTCCTGATCTCAGCGGCTGTGTCTCAAGGTAAGTAAACGCCTCCCAAGATCCCCATGGCTGTAGTATTGTCTAGGCATCTACCGAGATGCTTGACCTTGCAGAGAGGTAGCTTTGTATTTGGTTCAGCAAATTAGTTTCTTTTGAGAGATTTTCAGCAATTTCTCTTCAGTCAGAAAACTACCACGTAGCCCTAGTACTGAAGAGTTACTGACATCTTGTGGGAAAAATTTTAAGGTTGCAACTTAAATTTGCTTTGTTTCTTTGTTTCATTTGACGCGGATGCTGCTAGAGATAGGATCTTCTTCTTCAGCATTTGAATGTTTCTCTCCCTTCCCACACAAAAAACAGTTTATGACCTCATATTTGTTACTTAATGATCATGCTGCCTTGAGCAAGTAATAAACAGCTGGGAATGGAGAACAAACAATATGAACATATAAGCATGGACAAGTCTCCAATGAATGAAAAAATCTAGAGCTCTGTCTTCCATACAGTTGCCAGTTTGTCGATCCACATATTAAAACGATGCAACTAACCGTACAGTGTTGTCAGTACAAGTAACCACTACGTATGTGGTTTTATTTCAAAAAGATGCAGTCATTTAGTTTTAAATGCACTTGGACATCAGCTCCTCCGAAACAAATAAGCAACTGATCTTGATACCGTGAGGATTTAGGCAGCTTGGACAAATGCAGTGTTTTAATTGAGAATGTCATTAAAATAGAGCGGTCATGCTTTATGTCTGATGCCGTGACGGTAAGACCGCCTCTGAAACCACGATGTTCCTTTTCTGCTCACAGGCAGGACCCTGGCAAGGATGGCAACGGAGCTCCGGTGCCAGTGCGTAGCCACTCATTCCAGGTTCATCCCTCCTAAATCCATTCAAGATGTGAAGCTGACACAGAGCGGCCCCCACTGCAAGAATGTCGAAATCATGTAAGTACCTCTGCAAAAGCCTCCTTCTTCTTCACCTACGCTCTGCTGCTGTGGCCACTGCAGGGGCTTTTGGGCTTCATGGCAAGTACGACAGTTAGCAGGCTGACATGGATTTGATTATTCTTTTGAGAGAGATGGTTTTAAGTAATACACCATGTTTTTCACCGTCTCGATGGCCATACGTATTCCTGAACCGATCATTATTTAGCTGTCATGGGACATATTAAATATCTCTGGTGGTAGTATGTGAATTTCACGGACTGGTCAGTTCTTAAAACACGTGGTAATAACGTAGTTTAAATCCTGCATTCATTAGGAGGCAAGACTCCCATTACGACAGTCTCCGTCAGTCTCGGAGAGAAAAATTAAGTTTCCACAAGCAGATTTAGGGAAACAAGGAAACAAATAGCATGGAGAGGGACTAAAATGCTGAAACCCTTATACTGTTGAAACACCTTTGCGCCGCTGGAAGTTTCAATTGCTGTGTAAAGCTTTACTAATGTAAACAAATTCAAACCGAGTACCCATATATATTGAAAAAGATTCTTGGGAATGTGTGACTGATATGAGAGCAGGCGTACAGGCTCGCACAACTTCTGGATGGTTTTAGCCTCCTCAGTTGTGGAACACATAACAAAATGGCCAAGTCTAACCTAGAGCAGCTGGGATGAATTTATAGTAACTAATCCAAAAATGCAATATTACCTTCCATGAGTAAAACAAATCCATGTAGGAGTTTCCTGACTTTTCTTCATTCCCTGTTTTGCAGAGCTACTCTGAAGGACGGCAGAGAGGTGTGCTTGGAGCCCACTGCTCCCTGGGTACAGGTGATCGTAAAGGCAATTTTGGCCAAGTAAGTACCATTCCCTTTCAGTTTGGGCAGTTGTGTGGTCAACCTCACAAAAAAGCCAATTTGTAGGATTTCTAAGTGATACTTTCCATTTTCTCTTAATCATATTTAAAGAACAAGGAAGCTTGCTGCTTAATTACAGATTTAGTCTGACTCTGCTGCAAGGTCCTTGTTCAAGCCGATACATCACTACTAAACCTTTGAGTACTGGCAACTCGCCTGGAGGGAAAGGTTTGGCTCCCTTTTTGAAAAATGAGCCTTTAAAAAAGTCCTCTTCCCCTTACTTACAGTTGCACGTGTTAATAATTCTTATTTCTGAAATTCTTGATGCGACTAAATGCAGAAATTCATGCTGCAAAAGTTTCCTAGCTGGGCACCAGATATGCACATGCTGGGATTTCAGTAATTGCTTTTGAAACATGAACTTCATTCTCTCTGTGCCTCAGGATAGCACATAGAGTTGGAAATAGACCACCCATCCTTAACTGTTCGTGCAGTGCTAAGCAAGGATAACCGTTCTTGAACTTCCTTTTAAATTATCCTCTTCCCTCACCTCTTAACAGGGCTCAGCAAAATTCTGACTCGCCACTCTAAGAAACATCGGGACAGAAAAAATACAGGAACTGCTCCTGCTCCTCCATTGAGAGAAACACTCAGGAAAAGCATCGGTCGAGCAGTGTACACCTTCCACCTCCTGCATCAGTTTTATTATGTTATTGATGGTTTATGTTATTTATTTATTTAACTGCATCTATTTAAGAAAGTCTTTCAAAACGGTCAGTGTTGTCTGTGGGACACGCCGTTCATTGACACTGAAGATGCTGAATAGGAAAAGTGGTTTGCTAAAGGAAGTGAAGAACCCTTGGCAGCCACTTCAGCCAAACACAACTAGTTAAGTGCAATGCCCTTACAGCACAGCCTATTTACACTAAGCCTTACTATTTTGCGATTACACCAGCAAACTGATAATTCCTCCTGCTCCCCTGGAGTGCACTAGTATGTTGTGTCAACAACAGTTTCCTGAACAACAGTCAGCCTGTGGCTAGACTGTGAACTGTGATTTCTGACTTCAAAAATCTAGCCTACAGAATCTGTGAGACAGTCAGTTTGGTATTTATTTATTGTGATTTTCATGGCATTTATAGATGTATTTATTGAGTAGTTTCTATACAGAGAGAAAATGATGATAATTTATTTAATTTCTACTGGACTTTCTACTGCTACTGTTAATTTCTTAACAAATACCCACAATCTCATTGCTCTGTACAAGGACTTCGTTGTATGTCTAATTAGCTGTTCAATCAGCTAAAGGAAAAAACTGCATCTTATGTACACAGAATTTGCTTGTGAGAGTGTAATTATTCCTAACAATGTATTATTAAATGTTTTCTACAAAAAAATCTGTTTTGTTATCTGTTTTTTATTTCACATTTTCGTTTCCTTTATTTGGAAATCATTTTTGCCACCGCAGTCTGATTTTTGGAACTGAAATGAAAAGTTTTTAGTACATGGTACCATAACTCACGCTGTTATGGTAACCTGACACTACTGAGTGCAATAAGACACTCTTAGGGTAGGGTAAAATGCTCACTCTCCTCTCTTCAAGCTATTCCCAGTCCTCGGGGACTGGTGGGCTGTAGGGCAAGGCTCCTTATTGAAGTACCTTACAGGCAAGCAAATTTTACCCTCAGATGCCTAAACATTGCCAGTGTCCAGATCAGCCCCAGAGTCATAAGTCATTACTACACCACAAGGCCCCTATTTGACTATCAAAATGGGAATTTGTGACCTTTACTTTGGGTACCGAGATATCAAGCATTGTCCCTTGTGTAACAACTGCTCCCTGTTCTGACCTCTGAAGTGGAGAGTGCTGAGCACATGATGCCTGCCTCTTTTAAAAAAGCCCAGCTATTCCTCCCCGTCATGCAGGGGCACTGATGCTCGGCCCCTTTGGGAGAGAAGCACTCGTACCGTGTATGAACACCGAGGAAGGATTCTGGCAGATAAACTGGGATGCTTCATGCTGTTACCACCCCATCTCCTGTCCCACGGGGGCTGTTGGAGAGCACAGCTGTCCCGGTGTAAGGCATCTTCCCATAGGAGTCCCAGTGCAGTTCATAAGACAGCAGTGTAAAACATCCATGCTTAACAATTCTCTGAAATCATCAGCTCAAAGTGCAACGGCAGTCAAATAAAAACAAGCAACGTGTTGGGCATCTTCAGGAAGGGAACTGAGAATAAGAGAGAGAGAGGGCGTAGGTTTAAAGCCTATTGCTTTAAACTAGCGTATACCTGTTTCTTTGAGGTGTGCGCACTTTTTTTTCACTTTTGCCTGTGATCTAGATAGTCTTAAAACAGCAGAAGGATTTTTGTCAGGTAGCTTTGTGATCATAAAATAAGAGAGCTGTCTTTGGCTTCCTGCTTCTTGAAGACCCTTCACAGTAAGATTGATGTCAGCCATTTCTTCGACCCGTATTATTTTGGCATAAGTTTGAGGCGCTCAGCCACTTGAACTCAAAACAATGTGCCCTGTGGCGCTTCAGTTTTCAGGCCATGCAGAAGCCGTAGGAGAAAACTGCATCCTTTGAAAACATGTAACTATTTAGTAAGCATCTTTGTGTGCGTGCAGGTCTATGTAACGTCCCCGAAAGCTGACCAGGCAGTGAGCAGCAATCAGGACATTCACACCACAAAGAAAGGAAGGACCCTGAGTTTTCACTGCAGATAGCTACCTGTTCTTGTCCATCTTCTCCTTTTCTCAGTCTCATGTAAGCTTCTGCTCCCCTGGGCCACTTCATATACCATCTAGATTGTACTTCTACAACCCTGTCAGAAGGCCATGCCATGTTACAACCTCCATGTGTATTCATCAACTTCCATTCACTTCTTTACCTCCCTCCTCACAATTAAATGTAGCAGAGGTGTTTACATGTCCTTTCCATCCTCAGATATTCTTTTGGTCCCTTACTTCATCTTCCTTCCAAACCACTTTAACTTCCTTCTTTCACCAACAATTTCCGTTTGGGGGCAAGAGGACGGTAGCAATATAACCAACCAACCAAGCAACAACCTTTTGCTGTAGTTCTGTTCTCATATCGAAAGCCTTTTCAATCATGAACTGTAATTTGTTCCCTCGAGTTTCAGTGTTACTGTTCTTGTAATACTAGAAGTATATTTCTCTCTAATGTATAAACACTGCAAACCATTGAGGAAGTCATCGGAAGAAATACTGGAAGTCCCTGAAAAATATCTTTAATGCTTCCTTAGAAGAATAGAGAATACAAACACTGGTTTGCTGGCCTACACTCTTCTGTCTGTGCTGAATATTGACTAATACAAACTTCCTGGTTATGTATCAGGTGACAGATGCATTATCCATGCTTTACTTGCTTTTGCTTATGGATTGCTTCCCATTCTGGAAATGACTGCATTTCTTATGTTGTTATCACATAACATGGGAAAATCCCAGGAAAATTACACAGACAGCTGGCTTGATATTGCAGACTTGTTCCAAGCGTTGCGTTTATTCTTGTTTGTAACAGAATATCATAAGCGACTCCGCAGGAAATAAATCCTTTGGAAATTATACAGTCTGCCATGGAAAATTCTGGGTCAGCAAATAGGCATTTTGTTTCTGTGTGCAAAAGCGAAACAAGAATTTTGCCACCTGTAAAAATAAGCCTGAGATGTCTGTTGTTGAAAACCATAGTGAAAATTTATTTTTAATATTACAGAATCACAGCATCACAGAATCACTAAGGTTGGAAAGGACCTTCAAGGTCATCAACCGTTAATCCAGCGCCACCGTGTTCCCTAAACCATGTCTTGAAGTGCCACATCCACACGTTTTTTGAACACTTCCAGAGATGGCGACTCCACCACCTCCCTGGGCAGCCTGTTCCAATGTTTTACCGCCCTCTTGGTGTAAAAATTTTTCCTAATATCCAGTCTAAACCT